AAGAACCTTATGCTACAACTTTATGTGAAAGATGACTTCGGTGCATCAAAACAAGTCCAAAATACTTGAAGCCATTTTGTCAAGTCCAAGAAATACAGGGGGATTTCAAGTGTGTCAAGCTGAACCTGGCTCAGATGATGGAAACACATTAATTTACCTTGAAAGAGATCACAAAAGGTCAAAATAACTGCCAGATTCAGTTAGTCTCCAAGTTAAGCTCAGGAAAGCGAACCTTGTCATATCTGTGCAAGAAAAGTAAGACGATGATGTCCCCTTCCTCATCGAGTTTGTCTGCATTCCAACCTCCTCTATGAAATGCAAATATTCCCACCTGCCAACTCAGATGTGCGGAGTATTCACCGGGGCACGGGAGGGAGGAAACGCAAGTGACAGGGCAGAGATTCAGGGGCAAAGGGCTCCCAGGTAGGTGCAGCTGAGTATCTGCAGGGGATGGATTTGCCATGGGGTGGGGAAGGGAACTGGCCATTTGTAGCAGGAGGTCACGGTAACAGCTGAGGCACAAGCACAGTGGTCAGCATCAGGTCTGCTGCGGAATGCCGCCCGCTATCTTCTTACCAAGAAAGCAGAAGAAAGCTGTAAAACCCACCTGCCTAGGAAATGGTGAAGGAACATTTCTGGGTTTGGCATCACATCCCATTCCTTTCTTGTGTTCACAAATCACGCCAGAGAAGTGAGAACATGATAGATCCCAAGTCTACACATGACAGCTATCAGTTTAGAATGCACCTGAAAGCTTAGGGTTAGACAGTAGCTCAGGATGAAACTACCATGACCAAGCAACTTCAGGAACACCACACACCGAGCTCAGGAAACTTATCAGAAGTAGTCAGCTACATAGATCTTAACTGCAGAAACCTATACTTTCTTAAAGTATAGCAGAATCAAATGTTGCAGAATCAAATTAAAGCTTTGGACACTAGCTCTTCAACAGTATTAAAGGTTTAAAAGAATGTATTCCGGTTAAACGATCATTTGTGAGAATACATTGGAAAAAATTTTATTTTTTTCCAGTCCAAACAATTTCTTTGGAGCTAGTGTTATCACTTGGGTGTATGCAATACTAACAGCCACCAATTTTAAATCAGAAAATGGGAATTTAATTTAAAAACAGCTTTTGATTGTATAGTAACTGACAACAAATTCAAAATCTCCCGTGTTACATTCATATGCACTTACCTACAAGTAAGTAGGTACTTACACTTGCAAGTAGAAACACTACTTAGCTACAACTGCTTTTTCTTGCCTCCCACAGCTCATGCACAACTCCACCATGCATCCTATGAAGCCACCAGCTAATGACGTACACCTATACCAAATTCTTTTGACAGCCTCCCTACAGGCAAGCTCTCTTTAAAGTGTTTTCCCTGGTCAACTGGTTTTCACTACATTCTTCATATTGCAGCCCCTAGGAAATGAGTTTCTACGGCAAAGTTCTTCTCAAGTCTGCTCAGAACATACCTATGGGCAGCAGTGCAATAACTGAAGCTTTTCTGCTCGCAGATCCATGGCTCTTGAACCAACTGCTGGCACAGAGCACCTGAGATGTCTTGGACCACAGTCGTTATTAAGTACAGCAAATCAGGGAACAGCCTCACTACATGGCACTCGAATAATTGTCTCCGTTCACAGAGAATTTTTCTTTCTGATCCTCCACAAACTTTTGGAGATGTTTAACAATGTAACACAACAGACACTTTAAAAAGATGCTGGAACAGTGACATTAGCGTGAACTAAACTAGACCGAGAATTTTGTATAGCAACCCTAGTAGTCAGTGTTTGTGTACAAAAACTTGATTGAAAGATCAAATACGTTTCCATAAAACCTACATTGTTCCATGCAAAGGTGGTCCATGATGACTGAAGAGGAAATTCAAAATTTTTTCTTCTTCAGTCTGTGGCCTATGCTCCATTTCTTAGTGAACACAAAGCAGAATTTCCATTTCATGGCAAATCCTACACCACCTAAGTATTCTGCAAAAAATTCAGCTTTACAACATGCTTGAAGATACACTGGAAAGTCTTTTAAGTCTTTAACTACTTGTAATTAATCCACTAATTTTCACTGCTCAGAGCCACAAGTTCAGAACATCTGGCCTTCCTGTAACATCAGTACAGCCAGGTTAACGTGCATACACCCACAAAAACATCAGATCCGGGCCAGCTGGCGTTTAGCATTCAGAAAGACATAGCAGTACTTCCCTTATGATGGTGGTTATGCAACTTGCATTTTGTACACAGACATCACTCCTAATATTTCCTAAGGGCACAAGCAAATACTCTTCTGAACAGAATGAACATACCTGACCCTCAACAGCCCTCTCGTGATTTGTGGCAGAGGGCACCCATCCGTTCGCTAGGATGAGCAGGACTGATCAGTGAAAACATGGAAGGAACAGAAAACACGCACAACCCACACAATTCAAAGAACTGAAATTAGTTAAACAGCCGTTCTTCCTTAAAGTCATTAAGGGTCATTACTCAGGAGAAGCAAGCTCGCGTCAATTTGAAAGACAATTTCAGGGCCACCATAGAGAAATTTAAAGCTGCCTTAGGAGCCTGCAAGGGAAACACCCAAGCAGTCAGAGCTTTAGCTCTAAAGAGTCACCCACCTTATACATGGCAACGTCTGAACAGACTGCAGAGACCACGTGAGCCTGAATACAAGAAAATTCTGCCCAGCTAAAACCTAGCAGGATCTGCAAGTGCGACTCAGGCTTGCCTGATTATGCAGACTGTCCTAATCCTTCAGCATATGCCACAGTGAACGAGGTATGCATTTCAGTAGCTCAGCGTTGTCAAAAGAAATGTTCTGAAAACCCAACGTGAGTCATCTCATTTCAGAACGGTTTAGGAAAGAAAGCAGAAAAATGTTTGGGTGAGGCCTAACAGTAATTGTGTATTACAGGCTGCTCTACTTAGGTACGTGTACCTACTTTTTTAATCGGCAAAAATCCCCCAGCAGGTATCATGTAAGCGCTGAAAGCTCAAAGCAGTAGATTTATCTGTCTTGTCAGCACCATACTTAATTCCTAAGGAGGAAGAGATTTCCAAACTGGTACAGAAAGAGCTATGACCACTTTCAGGAAGCTTGTCACTTCATGCTTAAGTGTTTGATTCCAGAACCAGATATTTGTAGATGCTTCTATTGGTTACACTTTTACTTAGCACAACAACTTCACAGAGCATAGTAAGAAACGTGACTGCATACGCCCACGTATGCAAACAAGCACCCAGCTGCTGCAGTGAACCACCAAACAGACCACCTTGCTGCAGCTCCTGCGTGTCTTTGCAGTAAGCTGCTGTGCTCACGCAGGTCACCCGAGCAGTGACACCTACGCTGCTCAATTTACACCGTGACTGTACTGACTGGTGCAGCGCAGGTGCGTCCAGACACCTCAGCGACATCCTCACGTGCAGGTTACTAAGGAACAATGACAATTACTTCCAAAGCAGAAGATAGGACTTGATGTCATCTTTGATTGAAGAAGGAATGCTCTCTACCACCTAAACACACACATCGAAAGGAAGTCTCCTCTGTCTAGAAAACAATTTCATATGCCATCTTACGTTGGACGCTAAAAATCAGAGACAGCAGCATTTACATCAACAGAATTGTATGGCCTCTGTCTTTCAGTAAGCTAATAAAACAGTTACCATTAAGCAAGTTGAAGTCCTTGAGTCTTTTAGTCGTCCTTACATACACAAAGCAGCCTCTTACAACTTAGTACAGGGCCATTTGTGGAGGCCTGACTTACAGATTATGCTTTACAGTAAAGCGGTGCCACTAACCAACTTACTAAAAGCTTCCACTAACCAACTTACTAAAAGCTTTAACAAACTCCAGCCAAAATAATACATGTATGACCTCTGAAAGAGAGCAGCTCTTACAATTATCTGCATTAAGTACACAAATCATTTTAGGAAATTCTAAGCAAGACAAGGGAGAGTGAGACAGAAGCATAATCTCAAAGGTTTCTTCACCCAACATCATTATGCTGAGAAACCTGCTTTACAGTACACAACTCCCACTCCTGCTTATCAAAAACCTCTACACACAAGGCTACACTTCTCACTTTATCTTGACATAACTCTGCACAAACTAATAACCTTGCATGAAATCTGGCTTAATAAAAGAGATATAGATTACAAGAGGAATTCTTGTGTGTTGTGGTTATACTTTATTCTGATTGGAAAAATCATTTGTCAGCGTGAGACTTGAGGAAGCTTTCTCCTAACTGACCCCATACAAACACCCATTTTACTTTCGTGACTGAACACTTAAGTTGCTCCCTTATTTTTGCATTACAGCCATTTACTAAACACTTACTGAAGAAACAATCCCTCATACAGGTTTTTAAACACAGTAACTCATTTCCTATATTCCTATGACTACACACACTTGTCACCCCAAAAAAGCTTACAGCTCTAAACTGATCTTTGAATAGTTTATCCAAACAAAACAAAAAAAAAAAAAGGAGGAGGAAGGGGAAACTACGCACACTAAATTTGTGTACTTGGTAATACAATGAGTAGCATAAAGAACATGTTTTTAACAACTCTGAGTTACAAAGAAACCACCCTTCTGGCTGAGGAAGCCCATGAAATCAAACTTGCTTCAAGCTGAGGGAATGTTCAGATGAAGTAATGGCTACATGTTTTTCTCCTTATTATGATTTTAGACAGCTACTATGGGGATATGTGGTATTTTGGTTTTAACCTGGTAAACTGTTCTTATGGAAGACGAACAGTTTTATAAGTGCTTATTCTGGAATTAAGCTCTACTGTTCCCAGAAGTCAAATCCGAACGTGTGCAAAACTAACCTGCAAGGCTTTTACCACTTCTGTCTGCAACATTTACACTGTGCACAAGAGCTAACCTTTTTCAAAATTAAAGCAGTATATATTAGCATGTATGAATTTAATGTGCAAATGCATTTATAAGCATGCCTGTGAAGTTTAGGAAGAAGTTTTCAACTCACTTATTTCATTAGCAACCTGGTCCAGTTTCTCTTTTGACCTACTGATTAGAGCCACTTTCATTCCACGTCTTGCTAACTGCAACAAAACAAAACAGGAGACATAAGAACAATCATACACTGCTTTCAAGTTAGTATTCTAATGAAATGAATCGCATGATTTGTTGATCACAACAATATATGACCAGCAAGTCTGAAAAAATTACAATTTTAAATAGTGACATGAAGGGGTAAACCAGGACAAATACTTCCATGCTTCTTCTTGAGTCCCTTCACAGCAAACTTATTCTCTTCTCAGCTGTCCAATACAGGTGTATAGGCACATTTATAAAATAGAAAAATCAACAGCAGGTATTTTACAGAACTTTCACAACACCCTCGCAAGTCAGAGCAAAAAAGTTATTACCCATAATTAAGTTCAATATGCCAAGTAAAGATATCAGCAGTCACTTGAACAACCATGTTGCAAGATGACCCCAGTACTCCATACTTGCTTCCTTCAGTCAGGCTCCACTCATACTTTGTAGTAATCATAGGTTAATTTTCTCATGCAGTTCTTTTAGGGAAGCTGTGTAACTTCAGCTGTGGCCCGAGCATATCCTGGTCATCAAATCAGACCCACCGCTGCAGGTTTGTAACACGATTTAACAACTCAATTTAAAAGTGTCTGCAAAAAGACAGCTACATATCTGAAATATTCTGCAATGAAAACAAAGTTTGTGACTACTGTAAGTCCCTGTTCCAATGAAAAGTAAAAACAATACATCCACAGTTCATAGTGACACTGCCTGTCAGACATAACACCTGCAGATGAAAACAGGTAAGTTCTCACTGCTCCTATAAAACTCCTTCACTGACTTAGGAAGCAGATGAGAAGGGGGTCTTCAAGGAAATCTTAAAAAAAAAACAAAAACAACCACAAAAACCACACCACAGCGTGGTACAGTGACAACCTAAAGTGATTTAATCTCATCTACCTTTCTAGCTGAAGTAGGCAAACCAAGAAAGCTTCATTCATAAAGAAGCATGACAAAGTTCACCAGTGGACTCCGTACTTCACTCCGACTTGTGATCTCTAAGCAGGAGAAATCTCGTATTAGCTCTCTCTTGAGCTTAGAGTGAGGTGTGATGAAACCAAAGACACTCACACTAGGAACTGCTAGCATACTGCCACCAAGTTCAGGCTGACAGGTAACTTAGCCTTCTGCTCAAGGAAATGATTTAGTATTATGAGGACAACTGTCTAAAAGGGATGAACACTTCCATCTCCAGATAAGCACCTGGCTCACTGGAATAAACATCTCAAAGCCAAGCAGTAGGCTCGAAGAGCGGGGGGATGGGGGGAATAACATAGCATTCTCTCATTCCACAGGATCAAGGCAGCGAAGGCAAACACTTTGCCTAAAAGTACCTCAGACTGTGACACCAAGGACAACCTGACAGTAATCTACTCCGAGTCTGAAATAGCTGTGGTCCCTTCGGCCAAAAAAAGGCCCAGAGATGTTCCTCATGGGTACAAGCTCCAAATCACTGATGCGCAGTTTGCTTTCTTTCAGTAGTCATAACCGATAACCTCTGGGCTCCCAGATTGCTGAAGTAGGTACCTGAGCTTTATGGAAAAGTATCCAGCTGTATTTGTCTCCAAAGCTGGGGAAGCCATGACAACACACACAGCTAGTGGAACCTCAACACGTTTAGAAAACTTCCACCACAAGAGTGAGCCTGAGAGAAACTGCTGCTATGTAGACACTAAAGGGACACACTCTGAGAAGCACATCCGAAATCTGGAAATGGAAACTCATTTACAAGAGGAATTCTCCGAGTACAGAGCACATACAACGGCCAAGGGAAGACCCTATAAGTAGGAACGAGTATCACTTCAGTAATCAAACTTGGAAAAAATACAGTGCTCGGCAGAAAGTTCAGTTTGAGTTTGATGAAACCAGATCTCTGGTTTCTGCTGAGCACTCTGAGTTCACCGATGAGTTGAAAGGAACTGCAATAGTCCAAAGAGCAATAATGATCCTCTGATATCCCAGTAACTAATTATGTTTCTACTTAAGGAACAAGGAAGACCCAGTTGCTTTGTAGATAACCTGCTATTATACTTGGATCTTTGGTCAGTGTCATCAGGGTCATGAAGGTTATCAGGAGTAGTCAGCATGGATTCACCAAGGGGAAATCATGCCTGACCAATCTAATAGCTTTCTACGATGACATGACTGGCTGGGTAGACGAAGGGAGAGCCGTGGATGTTGTCTACCTTGACTTCAGCAAGGCTTTCGACACAGTCTCCCATGATATCCTCCTAGGGAAGCTCAGGAAGTGTGGGCTGGATGAGTGGTCGGTGAAGTGGATTGAGAACTGGCTGAATGGCAGAGCTCAGAGGGTTGTCATCAGTGGCTCTGAGTCTAGTTGCAGGCTGGTAACAAGTGGTGTCCCCCAGGGGTCAGTACTGGGCCCAGTCTTGTTTAACTTCTTCATCAACGACCTGGATGAAGAGTTGGAATGTACCCTCAGCAAGTTTGCTGATGACACCAAACTGGGAGCTGTGGTAGATACACCAGAAGGCTGTGCTGCCATTCAGCGTGACCTGGA